AGTAATCCCAATATTTTGATTACGTTAAAGCCATTCACCTCAATTTAAATCATCCAAATGAAAAGAAAAAGAAAAACTAGTTCAAGCACTGATTAAGTCTATATTCTGACTTCTGCCCTTCAGCTTCATCGCTTCTGTTAAAAAAAAAACTGACAGTTATTTGTGAACAGGTTTCTATCTCAAAACAACAACAACAAATAAATAAATAAATAAATAAATAAAACCACCCTCTATCATGCACAGAACCAGCCAAATACATCAAAGGTGGCAATCCATGCATTCAGTTGTTTGCAAAACCTTTTTAGTATTTTTAAATGGCCATAGTATTGGAAAAACTTTAGTGCTTTACCCATCACTTCACACCAGTATACATTTTAAATACAAAGACATACACAGTCTCTCCTTGTTCTGTCTTCTGACTGTGTGCAGGCAGAGATCACTGCCTCCATGATATTTGTGTGTGTGTATATTTAACTCTGTAGGATATTTGCAGAGCTACTCTCAAAGAGTAATTTCCTACAAATCATGGAAAGACCCAAAGACATCAGTTACATTTCGCACATAAGTGAATAGGAGAGAAAAGAAGTGAATGTAGACAGGACAAGAAAATTACATCTTATGACCCAGAGGATCACTGGGGCAGGGTTTGTAACCTGAAACTTCCAAAGATTACTGTAGCTTGCAAACACTTTGCAAATAACTTGTTTGAAAAAACACATTAGGTACCCATCAACAGCTGCCCAGGGAAAAGTGGACAAAAACCAATTTTATTAAGAAGCTACAAAAAGATGATAAGGAGATAATTACACCAAAATCTTACTACTCTTAACTACCCAAACCATCACTCATGATTTCTGCTATACTACAAGAGAATTCAGGAGGAACAAATTAATGCATCATTGCAATTGCCTTACCCAGTTTCAGGTTATGCATTAGTCTTTAAGGTATAGACTTAAATATTTAACACATTACAAGGGCTCATTTCTGGAGCCCTTAACATAAGAGTTAGTGACTTCTAGGAAATCTCAAGTAAAAAGTCTCAAAGGTGGCAACATTAATTATTTTCAGATGGCAAAAGTCTGAGTTCTTGACCTTTCCTCCTAATTCAGAAGAACCACTAGTAGCCCCTCTAATAGCTCAGAACTTTTAATAACTTATTACAAGGACATGAGCCAAGAATTTGGGTAGGTGTACAACCATCACATGTGGTCATCAGAAAAGAAGATTGAAGATCAATGTTAGAAAAGGCTTGTTAACTTCTGTCAGTGCCACAGACACAGTGTTCGTCTCAGAAATGATTTAGGATGAAGCTGCTTCCAGTTTTACTTAGGATATTATGTTGCATCAGGTTTTTCTCCTAACTGGCAGATACTTTGTGAATGAAAAGTTCTGGTAAAAAGAGTAAACATATTATAGATATATTAGATAGATAGATTATAGATAGAATGCTGTGCAGTATTCTTGGTTTGTTTATCTGTCATTGATTGTGGTTTACTTTTTCAAATTCCTATGTCAAATAAATTCCACTTTATGGGAGCTGGAAGTGGCAAAATACAGTAAACGGAATAAGGGCAATAGGAAGTTCCTAGAAGAAGAAGAAGAAAGCCAGCTTCTGACTTGAGAAAGCTAACTGCTGAGCAGAAGAAACAGGAAGTCACTGAAGAAACAGCAGCTTATGTAAAAAGGTGTTGCAAAGAAGCTGGAACAAGCTTGTGTAGGAATGAGAAATATTTTTATCTGCTCCGGCTGAATATACTATAGACATATTTCTGAAATAAAACACTAGTAAGGAGAGGCAAAGATTAAGCAGTAATCTTACACAAGAGAGATCTGGAACCATGATGCCAATTAGCAATTCCCTGATTAATTTCAGATGTTAGAATTTCAGTCATCAGAAATTCTGAACATACATGACATGCCCAGAACAGACCAACTGTCATTAGATGAATACTGGGATTAGTGCTTTCCACTAGTTAGATTTTTACCTTGATTCCACTTCTGTTGGCAATACAGCATCCCCAGTTAAATGGCATATATCCATACATAAATTACACAGAAGTCTACTCTGTGCTGCTCACAATTAACTGTGTTTGAGAGAATCTAATATGCATCTAATGCTCTCAGTTACATACACTATAGACATACTGAGGTGAATTCTTTGGACAGGAAATACTATTTATTCCATGAGAACAAAACACAAGGCAATAGTCATGTAGGAACATAGGTAGCTATATCAATAATGCATTTTAACATGATATGGTTCCTCATATTGGCTTGCCCACAGATGGGATGCCAAAGGGAACTGCAGCTCATCCTGCAGACTGAATAACACACTGCCTGAAGCAAAGCATGAGAGCAGTCATTTATGCATTTACTAAATGTAAATTGCAAACAATGTCTGTGTTTTGCTTTTCCAACTCTGAAATTTTGAAAAAGCAAAAATATTTTAATTTCATTATTAAAACCAAATGCCTATTGATACAAAACAAACTCACTACAAAAAACTTCAAATATTTTTCAAAAAGTTGTCCACATGTACAATGTAACTGAATAATGTAACTGAATATTGAAGCCTCAATTACGCTAAGAGTATTAAAATTAAACCTTATTTTTACCTACCTTTCTTTTTTCTTGAAAATTCATTTCTTTATTCTTAAGGCTATAGGTAGATGAATAAGTTACCTCAGAACAGGAGACATTTAGTTCTTCCTCCAACTTAACTCATTACTGCCAATGCACAAGAAGGGGCAAGAGAAAAAATGGCTGGCAAGCAACTACTGCAGAATATCTGTAGGTGGGCAATTTGCACCTTTACCTTACTCTATCACTAACTTGTCTGTTTACTCTGAAAAAAAAAAAAACAAAAAAACCCCAAAACAAAACACCCTGAAGATGAAATTCATTCCACAATGTTGTATGCAGTAGTACTTACCAAGAGTATAGAATGGTTCCCACTACTGATGCAAGTTTGCTGTTTTCTTGCTTTTGCTTTGCAAGACCAAAGTCAGCTACAAAAAAAAAAAAAAAAAAAAAAAAAAAAAAAAAAAAAAAAAAAGGAAACCAAAGAATATATTCATACATCAATGATTATCAGTGGAGGGCTGATTATTAGTTGATTTTTTTTTTTTACCACATTTCACAGTATTGCACTGTTTTCCTGTTTCCACATAACATTTACTTGGCTCAGGCCTACCACCTTTAAAAATGTTATAAACACATCTCTGACCTTTTCAATCCAACCTACATGGCCAACACCATGTTCCAATCAACGGTATGACAGTGGAAGTTGTATCTAAAACGTAGTGATCTAATGCCCAAATTAATGGAAAAATAAACTGAAGACAATGGAAAAGATTTGGCCTTCCTTCAAGTTATAATAAATAGCTGGGAAAGACTTTCTCAGAAATTCAGCTTCCAAGGAGTATAGAAGATCTAAAAGTTCTCAATAAAAGACTGCTTTTGTTAAGAAATAATGGTGGATCTTAACATTACTTTATGCCAAAAGCTGTAGGTAAAATGATCATGCAGTTATGTTAACATAAGTGTCTTCTGGCTATTATCAGTTATTCTTTCACAAAATTGCCACACTACCTTTAGAGATCATACTTTTAAGTTTCATGCAAGTAGACTGAGTTTATTTTTTTCAATTTGGTACTATACCATTGTCTCTGTGCAATGATGCACAGGTAAGATACAATGTACTTTACTAAATCCAAGCACAAACAGCAAAGGAAAATCATTGTACTTGTCAACAGTTTATAATAAATCCTTCATTTCAATTCTACTTCAGAATGAGTAAGATTTGCATGGTAAATAATATCATTTAAAATATTTTAAGGCTCCTTTTTCACATAGATACAGAGTACTGTTAAGACAATTATGACTGAACCCAATGTATTCCCATTCCAGTTGTTTTTACAGCGAGATAGGTAATAATGATTTTAAATCAGAATATTCCTACTCAGTAGGAAAACCATATCTAGGTACCCAGGCCACAGATGATTCTTATTTGAATAAAATGCTCAAAGGCCTAGCTCTGTGGTGCTGAGAAAGCATAAACAGAAAGAATGCTAAATTAACAGTATCAGCAATAGATCTCCCTTTTCCCTCAAGTTAGATACATTTTGGATATTTCACTCCATGGGATATTAATCCCAATAGAACCAAATGTGTTTGCAATGTTGAAACTTCTCTCTATTACTCTGAGTAAATTGTTCTAAACCCCCATCTTTGGAACCCTTCACATAATTTTCCATCAAAACAGTATTAAGATATCAGAGCATTCAGTAAGTTCAGGTCCTGGTGCTTGAAATATTTAGGAAAAAAAATGGGAGAATTGGACATCCCAGTTCTGCAAGATTTAGTGCACCTTAATACAGCATCAGTGGTTATTTATCTGGAAAAAAAAGGCAGGAGCTTAAGTTCTCAGAAATGAAGGAAAGATACCTCTTTCACAGGTAATAATCTTTTCCAAACGTTACTAAACTGTTTTAGCACCATTAAGATGCTCCAAAATACAACTGGTGCTGCTACAACTACAGAATGGAATGCACAGAACAATCTGCTTTATGATAAACATAAACATTAAATCACTGAATTTGTCAATTCAGAGGATTCTTGTTGCCCCCTGTATCTTTGGAATTAGAAAGGCCTCTTTCAGTCTTCATTTTGACCATTAGATTGTCCCAACATCCTGAAAAGGAAAAATTACCCCTCTTGGACCAAAGATAAACCAAACAGTGGCTTACAGAACAGTCACAAGAAAACCAAAATGCTACTGGATGACTTATTTTCATGATCTTGGAGTTTTAATGCCACCAGTAGAAAGATCCACCTACCTGCCCCAAGAAGAGGAGCTATTTCTGCAAAATAATGTCTTTTCATTGGCATATGATATTTTAGAAAAATGCCACTATTTCTGATTTTAAGCTATACCTGAAATATCTCAGGTTCATGTGAAGTACATTCATTGCAACTTATTTTGCCATCCTAATACAATATGACAGTTCGTAAGCTATGGAGATTGGTAGATACATCAATCTAGCCACTAAGTTTCATAGAATAATTTTGTTTCAGTAATAGTCTTTAGTGCTCTGTTTAGTAGGCAACATGAAATAATTTGATTCCTTTACCACTAATTTCTCTTACGCCTGAAAGTTTGGCATTCTTCATTGAAAATTGAGATTATTTTTAAGTATTATTTTTAAGTATTGTATTTGTATTACAAACTTTCACTGTTAAATGGTTATTTAAATATTGCATAATAGTTTTGAACCAATCACTGTAGAAAGTAAGTTTCAGTTTTTCCCATTTCTTCAATATCTATAAATCTTTCATAGCTATATAAAGTTTTTCAAAGTTAATTTTGGGCTTAAATTTAAAAATATATTTACGCTTTTATAAATCCTGTTCAGGCCAGACCTATGGCAAAGGTGTTAAACTGAGACAAGAGTGCCCCTCAGTGGCAGTGTCTTGATATAAGATACAACCACATAGTATTTTACTTTAATATTTTGATAATTTATTTTTATCATTCGGGGAGAAATGTTGCATTAAATTACCTTATTTCAAAGCTATAAGATTTAGAGCTTTGAAGCAATACAAATTAATCATGAATGAATTTAAATGTGTAACTCATCAGGTATAAATACTATAAAATGACAGCTGCTAAATAGATTTGCTTATTATAGATCATTAATCATAGTTTTGTGGTTGGTGTGTGCATAGATCTACTTTTCCCCATTATTTTAGAGGAGATAAATTAATTTTTGCATCAAGAATTCTCATAACAACTCTGCAATATTCAAATTGTTTACTTGGTTCTGTGTCATAAGCATTAAGAAATCATGCAGGAGTTCTTTGAGAACATTAAAATCTACGGCATCTCAATCATTTGTAATTCTTGATGTAAATTCCTAGTTCTATTAATTCATTCAAAGAGTAAAATTTTGACATACAGCAGAGCACTGCTCACACACCTACAGCTTTCAAATCCTACCCTGACACGTCTCTGAGTCACTTTCTTCCACAGCACAGAGATTATAGAAATACACAAGAATATTCATTACTATAGCATCAGAAATAGAATCTCACTGCAGCTGATCATAGAACAATTGATGGATACTAACAGTTGTATGGTGAGAGTGGAATAGAACAGATGGTCATTTTACTCTGCATGCTCATTAGCACTGGCTATACAATCTAGTTATCTTGACCTATATAACTATAAGGTTGGGGGTTCTTTTAGGATTAAATCATCTCCTTGGTCATATTTGATATACACAGCTGCAAAAAAAACATGGCTGATAACATCTAGAGGCAATGATCACCTGATCACAAAAGCTGCAATAGAAAATATTTTACAAAACAGTATTATAACACAATAATTTATTAGCTTCCAACTATGGTGGCCAATGCCTCAGAATCCGAAACCTTTTGTGAGTTTCAGTAAAGAAATTCTATTCACTTTCATCATGGGAAGTTCTCTTCAAATAAAGGAGTTCTACTTACTAATTTTAACTTTGTCTTTATCCCCCAGCATGACGTTGTTTGGAGTGAGATCTCGATGAACAATCCTCTTCTCTTTATGTAGATAACGAAGAGCTAGGCAAAGCTTTCAAACAAACAGAAAGAGCCTTAGAAAGATTCTTAACGACAAGCTAAGTGAAATCACATCAAATTACATTCATATCAGGTATTAGTGTCTGATATAAGTATTATTTTGCTTATTATTAGCCTAACAAACATAAATGGAGTTACTAACTACAGGTAGACAGGTCTTGGTGAAAAAAAAATGTGTGCCTCTTACTTACTTGAATAAATATATTCCATATTCTTTCTTCTGTAAATTTTTGTTGCTTTTCCTTCAAAGAGTGAAAGTGTTCTCCCAATGGCACCCCATCTATGAGTTCCATGACTATGTACAGTCTGTCATCTACACAAAAGCAACTTCAATTAAAAAATACATTTATACAGAAGAAGATAATGGAGTATTTGAGGTTAAAATATATTTTTAAAGCTGTTCTTTTTTGATTTTTAATTTTTTTGTACATTATAGCTCCATAGTTCCATGTTTTTCCAATCTTTCATAAAATCACAGAATCATTAAGGTTGGAAAATGCCTCTGAAATCATAGTCTGACCATCAACCCATCCCCACCAACCATGTGCCACATCTACACATTTCCCAAAAACCTCCAGGGATGGTGGCTCCATCACCTCACTGGACAGCCTGTTCCAATGCCTCACCATCCCTTCTGAGAAGTCATTTTTCTAGCTCCAACACTAGTAGAGCTCTGAGTGCAGTCCCTCCCTCCTGCACTGCACTGTAAGAACTGAAGCATTTATATCACAGTAAATATAAGGAATTTCATGCTTGTTAATCACTCAGTAATAATCACTCAGTGGGCAGGTGTAGGTAGACAACTCTTTAAAAAGAAAAAGGAGACAATATGGCTAAGCCATACTACCATTCATTCCACTAGTCACCAAAGCTTTTCACCCTACTTAATATTCCAACTGTAAATTAGGGATCTTTAGCTCTATAGGATGAGAATGACATTTTCTACATGTTTACACTTTCATTTTACTAATAGATAAACACAATTATTATTTCTCATCCTTTTTCAATTTTAAAGAAATATAAGCCTGTCCAAAGTGTAGAATCACAGAATCACAGATGTAAGGGCTGGAAGGGACCTTACTGCTCAAATATGACACACTCTTTCCAAAAGGTAAGTACTCCTATTGTATATTTCTACTTCTTCATCATGCACAATATAGTAATTATTTACATTTATACTTACTTTCCAAGAAGGTTCTATAATAACGTACAACATTTGGATGATAAAGCTACAATGAGGAAAGAAATTCCGTTGTTTAGAATAGTTAGACTCATGGAATGGTATTTATAATGCTTAGCTACATCATGGAAGAAAGAATCCCACAAGCATTCCAAAAACTTGCTTATGAACTGCAGTGCAGTAGACTTCGCTGCCACCCCCAAACAATTTTTGTAAATATATATATATGTGTATATTATATATATATAATTATATATATATTATATAAGTATATATAAGAAATATATAATAATATATAAAATAAATATATAAAATAAAATTGTATATATATATATGTATGTATAATTACACTCCTGTTAGCAACTGAAATAGAGTAAAGGAAGTTTGAAGACAATTACACCTGAACCAAAGTATTTTCTTTCATAGCTAAAAAACATTAATGATTTGTCTATATTGTTATGGGTTTCTTTTAATATTTATTTACAATTACAGAAAACAGCTATCTTTTAAATCCAAGAGTTTGCTTACAGTATTCCTGAGAAAATTTCATGTGCTTCCAACAACAAAAGAATAATTTGTATCAACCATCTTGCACTCCTGGTAATAGTGCAGCAAGAATTTTTGTAACATTGACAACGTTTAGGTAAAAAGTAGCAACATTGTACTGAACAGATGAAAACAGTAACAGCAGGTGGAGGCCCTTCTGCAAGAGAAGAATAATGTTAACAGAACGCCAGTACCTGAATCTAGAGTCCATGAGACCTACCTGCTCTTTGATGATGGTTAACTCAGAGACAATGTTCTGGACTCTGCTATCTCTGTCTTTTTTGTCCTTTCCAAATGCTGGATTGTGTAAATTGACTTCTTTCATTGCCAGAAGATTTTGCCCATTATGTTTTCTAACCTACCAAAAAGATAAAACCTTTCTAAAGTTGGTACAGGATGGGAATAGATAGGATATTATTATAGCTATCATATCAGTTATCTGAGTGCAAAACCATCTCACAAATACTAGTCATAGTCTTTTCTGTATATAATGCAATTAGCCAAAAGAACTGGAGCACTCAAAAGAGCTTTGCAATGCAGGTTAGAATCATAGAATCATAGAATTATTCAGGTTGGAAGGGACCTCAAGGATCATCAAGTCCAACCTCAGCCTAACCATAGTATCCTAACTCTAACAACCCTCTGCTAAATCATATCTCCGAGCACTACATCCAAACAGCTCTTAAACACATCCAGGGACGGTGACTCAACCACCTCCCTGGGGAGCCTATTCCAATGTTTAACCACCCCTTCTGTAAAGAAGTGTTTCCTAACGTCCAACCTAAACTTACTTTGGCGCAACTTGCGGCCATTTCCCCTCGTCTTGTCACCCGTCACCAGTGAGAAGAGACCTACCCAGCTCTCACTGTAAGCACCTTTCAGGTACTGGAAGACAGTAATAGTCTCCCCTCAGCCGCCTCTTCCCCAGACCAAACAGCCCCAGCTCCCTCAGCCTCCACTCAGTTAGGAGTAAACTGTTAAACTCATCATGTCTAAAGAAATGCTACCAGTACCAAATGTTTTTTTTTTTCTGAAATAAAACATGCTTGAACTCAGTTTCAGACACAGCAATAGACAGATACATGCTTTGTAGTGAGAAATCAATACAAAGTAAAACTAGTAAATCTAAGAAATATACTGATCAATCCTATAAATACAAGAGGTGACAAACATAATCACAGCAAACACTAAAAGAAATGGACATCTGTTAACAACAAGCTCAGAGGGATAACAGCCTCCTGGTAACTACGCTCCCCTACTGAAATTCAAAGGAAATTTGTGCTTAAAACAGGTATTAGACCCTCTTCATGAAGGTTTCTCTCCAACCGCTACACTAGAGCCAAAAGGGAAGCTTACCTTATATACATTTCCAAAAGCTCCACTGCCAAGATGTTCTAAAATTGCATAATTGCCTATATGTTTTGTAGGTGCTTTATTCTGGTTGACGCTCTCAATACTTTCAGCAATTTGCTTCAATTCATCCTCCTGGTTATACATTAAATGACAAGTAAGTAAATATAAAATATTTCAAGTCTTTCTTGTGCTAAGAATACGCAAAGAATACATCTTCTTAAAGCTACAAAGCTCTTTACTTACCTTTAATAAATTCAGCTTTGATACCAGCTCTTCATAAGCACTAATATCACGCACATAATGTCCAATATCAATGAAGATTTCAAACAAGTCAGTAGGAAAAAGTCTACAAAAATTTAACATTTTTATGTATCTCAGAAAATGTTCACAATAGCTATTAATCTACAGCAAGTGATTATTATTACTTCCTACTCCAAAATCTTCTAAATAACACACTTATTCTTAAATGATGTATTCAGATATTAACTCTTTTAACTCAACACACACATATAGAAACTGAAGAATCTTTCATAAGTTAGGCTTCAGCCTCCATGGATTGGATATTGCTATAAATGCCAGTTCTCCAAACACTGAAAGCCTCTTTACAGTCAATGCACTTTCCAAACTTCCAGTTACCTTTGTATTTTTTCTTGTAGTATTTTACACTATGCTCATAGTTAACTTCTCTGAGCTCCTTCTACCTTTGATAGCTTTAAAATTTTTCTGCATTTAAAGAATCACATTATGCATCTTAGAATTTTTGTCCCAGGAAATCTAGTCTACAATATGAAAAGAAAGGTGTGTAAGCTAGTAGATACAATACAGTATTTTGATTACTGGTATGCTTAACTGGAGGTCAGTTTCTTTTTAATGTTCTGACAGAAGTGAAAATATGGAAAAGTAAGTAATTTTAGGGTTGGAAAAAAAACAAACAGACAGATTTATCACTTTAAAAACTTGACACCAACTATCAATATTGATTACAAACTGAAGTCCTTTTTTAGTACAAAATCATTTTTTTAAAAAAGTAAAAATGAGATGTTTTATTTAGAATTCTAGGAATATATAATATAGAATAAAATCATTCAAAAACACTGCTGCCAGGTAGTTGTCATAAGCAGTGTAAATGCTACCCTAATCCCAAAAGTGTTAGATTTTATGCAGCCTTTGTAATCTACCTGGTAATTAGAAACAAATGGCTAATTGATGAAAGACATTTTCCACTTATTGATCCAAGTCTTTTTTTTTAGCACTCTTAAGTAAACTGTCTTGATGTAAAATCCTTCCCATGTGAAAGACTGGAGGGTTGAGCAGCAAAAAAATACAATTTTGCCCGTTAGTTGCCACTATCCAGGGTTGTCGATTGTATCTGAAAATCTTCAGATGAAAGTATGGTTTATCTCCAACAGTTTTAAACGTCCTCTACATATTTTAAACCTTGCTTCACAGGGGAAGAAAGAGGCCCTACAGAGCTAGGTTCTCTGGCATGCATAGCAATAGAAGTCCCCACATTGAACATGTATATCTTGTAGGCTGGCACTAATACAAAGCAGCAAAATCTATCTGTGTCTACAGACTGGACAGAAGTTGCCTGTTACTTATTTTTGCTGAAAATGACTGGCATTTAAAAACATTATCTTTCTGATTGCAACGATACCTTCTGAAAGCTATTATAAAGGAGTTTCACAAAACATTTTTTTAGTATACCTTCTGAAGATATGTCTATTTCTTTCCATACTGAAGAGAAATCTCAGGGCTCTGAAAGCATAGCACTACAGTAGGAAAAGCTAAAATTAATAACAAATCTATACATAAATAAAAAAGACAATGATAAACATCAGGGATTGCCAACAGTTCAATAACCTCTTTCCTTAAATGTCTAGGTAGATTACATCATTAGCATGATAATGAAAAGAGTAACAACAGTTTTTTAAGTACATTCTATTCTTTAAAAGTAGGCAAGATTATTTAGGGGGAACAAAAAAAAGAATGGAGAAAAGTTTCTAAATCATCTCTACTGAAAAAAGTTTGTTTGTAAAACATCCACTGACAGGTTGTTAATACATACACTTTTATACAATGCATTTTGAATTCTCTGCATCAAGAATCATTGACTTTACTTGCTATACAATATGGCTGACTAAAAAAAGATGATTGTGAAATAAATCAAATGGAAATAAGGTATTGATATCTGAAACAGTGGAAGTAAGGAAATGCCTCTAACTGAGAATTTATCTCTTTCAAAAACAAAAATCATTCTACACTTACTTGCTATTTATTTATTCTACATTTAGATTTGCTCTATTTCATGTGAAGTTTTCCTGTATTTAACAGCCGCAGTATGATGCTCCAGAAAGAAGCAGATATTAGTACAACATCCAGACTTCACTGAATGTCAATGAAGACCAAAGCACACAGGAAAAGAATCTAATGCTGAGAAACCTGAAGAAGTAGAGGAGAGACTATCGAAGGAAAAATACTCATTTCCCTTCACACTGTATAAAGTGCGAGAAACAAAGTAGATCAGAATAAAGTACCATAAAGTGAATTACAATTGAGTTTTTACTTCTTGGACTATTTGTTATTACTGATTTTGTTCTATTTTCTCTTCAAGCAAGATGTCTACTGTACTTTAGACTAAACTTTTAAACAACAAAACAACAAAAAAATCTCAGGGACTGTTTTGGAATTTCCACATGTAGTTATACTAAAAGGAGTTACCTGTAATAAATAAGCTTTTTCAGCATTCTTTTCTTTGTCTGGTAAAACCAGTTTTGCTATTATATATACTCCATTTGCCTGGAAACAGAGAAAGGTCAACATTAATAGCATTCCTTCACACAGAAACCATGAATAAAAAACATTGTTACTTCAGATAAGTCAGAATCTAATACTGACTTGCAAAATCTCAGCTTCCTATTCCATACTGGATTTATATGCTGAAATAAGGTAAATGAAGTTTACTTCATTTCTTACTTACGTAAGAATGAAACCATCCTAACTCTTAAATGGATGCTACAAAACAGCTTACAGACATACAGTGAAGCAGTATCATAAGCTGGAGAGACACCAGACAAGATAGCTTTAGTGATTCTTCAGTAGGATTCCCAAGAGTTGCTATGTTTTCAAAATACAACAACTTTAAATAAGAGACATTTTATTTTTATGAAATCAGACTAGCTTAAAACATGTGAAGCTTTAAAGTTAATGGAATTTTATGATTTAATAACAATTTTAATGTTTTAGATATATAGATAATATTTTTTCTAGACTTACTTCCATTCCATTCTGCCTGAACAATGTTTTTGTCATATATATGAACTTCTTTACCTAACATATTCAAGACTCTCTGTTCTCTCAGTTCGTTTTAGGAATACCTCTGGCTGGATTTTAAGCTAACATGTAGATGATGGATTACAGCTGGAATTACTGTTCTAAATATTTTTGTCTTCAGCAATGCATGCAATACAAACCAGAGATTTTAAAGAACGGTTTTCAGAACCATAGCCTGAACTGATTGAAGTGTTACATTTTAAAATGCTGTCCAGAAGCACACCCCTGGGGATGGAGTGCCAGGAAGTTTTCTTAGAAATACCAGACTCTGAGGAAAATGGAAATTTTTCTGTGAAAGAACACAATGCTCAGCTGCACAGCTGGGAACTAAGAGTTTGTATTTCTCAGATAATTCCAGGATGACACTTACTAGTCTGCAGCAAAATTGCAGCAAAATCATGTCAGGAGATGCCTACCAAAATAACCCATAAAAAAAGCTATCTATTATTATTCTAAATACCTAGATACTATCTTTGAGTATATTTGTGTGTTCATAAATGTATGAAAAAAATATACTATTATAGAAAATGTACATGAAAGTTATAGAAAGCAATACTGTCCAATCACATTAAAACATATTCTGCTTATTAATTAAATTATGGTGACCAATAAGAACAAATAAGTCAAATCCTAAACTACAGTGCCTTACTTAACTGAATGAAGTCTTCCTACCTGTACTACTTGGTAAGCGTTAGTGTCATTGAGCACCAGTTCAGTAATTGCAGCACAACAAGCTAGAACAAAAATTCAGATGTAATATTTAGGGCCAGATCCATAAAGATATTCAGATGGCATAGCAGGTAAGGGCCAAATGCTCACCGCACCATTCATTCACTCCTCCTTCACAACAGAAGAGAGGGAGAAAATAGGATAGAAAAGCTCATGGGTGTAGATACTGGGAAATTGCTTACCAATTATTATCACATCATCACAAGCAAAACAGAATTAATTTGGAGAAAATTAATTTAATGAATCACCAGTTAGAATACATTTAGATAGGGAGAAACAGAGATTGGGAAAAAAAAAAAAAAAAAAACCACTTTCACTCTAGTTCCTCCTTTTTTTTTGCCAGAATCATCTTCACACCCAGTTCTTCTAACACTGCACCCCTCAAGCAGCACAGGGTGCATGATACATGAGGGTTTCAGTCAGTAAACAGTTCCTCACTTTTCTCTTTCAAATATCACTCTGAAAATGTTCCACTATAATCAATTCATTACTGACATACTACAGTAAGTTTCAATAGAGGAAACAATACAATGAAATAAAATGAATCTCAGGCTAAAAACAAATAAATAACAAATTAAGAGGTGTTTATACAGGGAGGGGAAACACATATGACTTCTGTGTACTTGAAATTAAATCCTTTGTTTCTTTCTTATAAAAAAAAAGCGGTGTTTAAAAATATGTGTTGATATTGCACATTTAGAAAAAAGCAGAGCTGAATTGGTGCTGCTGTGCAAGGTGGGAGTACAAATACTAGCTGGTATAAATGTTTATAATTTCAATTTTGAAATGGTTTGAATCCCTTTGCACAAGGTGTAAGTGAACACATGAGAGAGAACTATGCCTTGTAAATCAACCTGCTTGAAGGGAGAAAGTATTTTCTTGTATCTCATCAAGACTCAAATCGTCTGACAAATGAAGATGTTGAATTCTCCCTGCTGCATTTGCACTAGATAAACTTCCAACTGAAGAGCGATCAGAAACGAGATTTCTATCCCTGAAAAAAATAATTTTAAAAAATAAAATTAAAATTAAAAACATGAAAAACACTGTAAGAGACCAATGAAATATGCATAGTTGAAAAAAAATCCAGATTTTTCATTACATTTAAAATTGCTTTTTAATTTCTATAGATATCAGACACAACTGAGCAAGACTATTAGATGCAGTATTTTGTTAGATAAAATGAGAATGGTCAAATGTATCTTAAAAGATGGCACATTCTCACATATTGGCAAAATGTCAGGAAAGAAAACCTACCCCTGTAATACATGAAGTAGCTGCTTGATTCCACCCCAAATCCGGATTTCCACGCTAGTCTCAGGGTCTTCACAAACCTGTACAAGAATCCAAACTACACTCCACAAAAGCTTGATATGATCAGAATGGAGTAAACTGAGCAAAACTGGAACTCCTTCATAAATTTTAACTTGTTCTTTGACTTGTGACTCTGCACAGAGAAGACGTAACAACTCTGCTGTAAGCCTAAAAAATTCAGTAAGAGATTAATTTGTATTGTCAGCAAAGAGGAGAAAATTCAGCAAATGTTTAAAAAACAAACTAGACCACATACTGAAAAAAAGAAAAAGAAGAGTTTAAAGAAAACTTCTTGTCAATGGCATTACAAGTAAAACAAGTAGTACTGCATGTGTAAAGTATGCATACAAGTGTAAAGTCCATCAGTGGAAACTGAATAACCTGAATCCGGATTCTTCACCTGTATGGTTTGAACAAAATGTTTACAAAATCCTATCGGATTTCCATTCATTTCAATGTAATTAAGATGGATTTTCTAGAGCGACTATGGTTAGGGATTTCCATCTCCACTTGAGAGTAAAAAGTTGCATTCATGTTTGATGAAACGTGAGAATCCCTACCTGAATTTAAAATTATTTGTAATGAGCAATGAAGTTCATCAGTATCCTGCTAACAGCCAAATTCCAATTTTTCTAAAAACCCTTTTGGATTATATATGATCTATGTAATTTCAAATGCAGAAATGAAGTAAAAAGATGTTGGCATTTTCATTATTTCTAATCATATGCAAAATAATTTACATACATGAAGCAATTAAATTTACATATGTGAAGTTTTTAAAAAAACTTCTGACTTTTAAATGTGGATAGCATATGTGAAATGTCAGCTTCAAAAGTCTATTTCTTACTAAAGATATGTTATGCTCAGCTAAGAAGCTCAGCTGAGCTTAAAGGGTGTTTAAGGATCATAACAATTTTTTTTATTAGTGTGATGTGGATTCTGACACAGCCTCTGACATAAACTACAGAGCTACACGTATTGCAGTTTTTTTTACTAATTTATATTCAACATCTGAACTGAGCTCAATATGCTTTCCATCTAACCATTCAGGTTTCAGCAGTTAAGCGGAGATATATAAAAAAAAAAATCATTTTTCTATCACTCTATAGTAACATTACGATTTATTTGCACTGTAGAACATCATCAGAAAGTGAGTCTATAACAGAATTACTAGAAAACATGTCACAGTATCAACTATTTATCATTACTGTAACTGATAGAAAATACATAGGTTTCAGAATATTAAAATGGCACGTTATCTAATTCCTCTAAATAAATATATCTCTAAATGAGAAAGTCAAAAATACTTCAACATAATTAACCCATAAGTGAACTCTCACCTTTTAGAAAGCAAATCGTATTCACGTAATATCACCAGCAAGTTCTCAACAATGTTGAGCTCACATATCTTCTCCCTACATTCTGGACTGCAAATTGATTATTCCTGGCATTTATATCAAATTAAAGTATATTGAAAACACATTGCTCTTTCATCTCGTTCCTCATACATTGTATTGACCAGTATCTCTTCCTCCAGTCTTATCTAATAATATCACAAATACTTAGAGCCACAAAGATACATTATGTCAAGTCTGTCACTACAATAGTTTCTGATTTTCTTAGAAAAAAAAAAAACATAACATAAATGAACATCTGAATGCATAAAAGTAAAGATGCAAATGTATTTAATTTGTTTCATGCTAGAAATCAAGCAAATGGGGTACATCAAGACTGGAATATTATTTCAACTATTAAAATGTATGTATATTTTAAAAATCCATAAATTGAAATAGAAATAGAATGAAATACATTTGTGGAAAAAAAATAGAAAAGTTAGTAGTTAACTTTTTACTGATCTCAAGGAATTGCATTACTCTTTTCAGTTTTACAATTTTCCTCTTTCTTTTTTCATTTAAATCACAAAATTGTTACACAAGTCTGGAATACATTAAGAATTAAGTTATTAGGAATGAAAAAGAGAAAAAACAAACATCTTTATTTAAAATGGTCACTAGAAAAGAGAAGATACATGTACATAGATGTATGTATTCATTATGCATAGGTTCTAAGCACCCTGATGTAGCTGAAGGTGTCCCTCTTCATTGCAGGGTGAGTAGACTATATGAACTTTATGGGTCCCATCCAACTCAAACAATTATATGATAATTTACTACACTGAACAGTATTAGTTTTGGTTATTGTGGAATACTGTTCTATTGAGTTTAATATAAAATATTTTTATACAGGTGTAAATCAGTAAGAACTACAGAATCCTGCACAGGGATAACAGAGGGATTCCCATGACTCCAGTCTTGCAAACTTCTCCACACAAGTAAGAAGTGTAAATTAATGCAAGGACTGAGGTTTCTACTTAGAAGCTAGTAAAGTCTTTTCAACTTCTCCTTCCTACTATTTTACTGTAAAATGAAACACACTTCCTAGACTTCTCCAGAACAAGATTTCTTTCTTTTTTTTTTTTTAAAGAAGTGTTCCACACAAGCAGCAGTTTTAATATTATATCAAGAAAAAACAATAAAATGCTTATTGTGAACAGCATGTGAAGTTGAGCCTACCTTTCTGCTAAGCTAATCAGGGCAAGGAGAGCACCCAGAAGCACATTGCTGTCTCTGGCAGATAACAAATTTACTAAGGTCTAGAAAATGAAATATGAAACAAGATAAATGAATATAAATTTCACATTTTTCTTTTATGACTTAAACAAACAAACAAAAAAGATGTACTGAAAAGTCATAAATTTTGAAAATTAAGATACAAGTGTCTTAAAAAATGAAATAAAAATTTAAGGGACTTTTAAAATATGCTCCAGGCACGTATAAATACAAAGAGACTTAGGACAAAGAAAGATGTTTCACATTTAAGGATGTATCTCTCATGACTGTTCAAGTGCCTGTCCAATTTAATGTAACTTTGTAATAAATGTTCCCCTGCAAAACACTTCAAAACTGTAGATTAAAACCTTCTGGTGTAAAAAGCTATTTTTAAGCCTGTATTTAAATTATGCAGTACATAATTTAAGACCTCACATACATTTTGTTAATGATGTATATCAAAGAAAAAAATCATATTTGTCTAGATCTTCTAAAAATACTACCTATTCATAATCTCCAACTGCAACATAATAGAATCACAAATCACTAGTTATACTGATTTTTATCTCTAACATTACTGAGTTTGGCCAGAAATCATCAATAAAATACATTAAGTGTAGACCTTCTGTTAACTGTAATCTCTAGCAAGGCTGGCACACAGTGTTGTCTAAGTGAATAATCATAGCAGAAATTTAAAAACAAGTTATGTCATAATAATATGTAGTTCAGGGCAGTGTAAACTCGACTATTGGAATTGGTTTATTTGAAACATTTAGGATTCAATTACCTCGAACAACTAATAACCATGCATTAGATCAATTAAGTCATATACAAGAAAAAATATATATATATTATGCTAAGTCATACCAAGAAAATAGAATTTAGATTATCTTACTCTACCAACTTAGTATTATTAGGAGTTCAGTGTTAACTAAATCTGAAGTGGATAAGTCATTTAGTTAAGTAGCTAATTGGTTTTGGTAAGTAATTTTATAAAGCACTTACTTTATGTGCTCCACTTGCTATAACCCATTCTCTTTGATTTTTAACAGCAGCAATCTTCTGAAGAATGTCTATGGAACAAAGGGAGTCACATCTTTTGGAGTTTTATGACTTAGTATTTCTCATTTTATTAATTTCATAATAAAAGAAGAGTAAGCTATTTGAACCATGACTAGCTCATTTTCCTCTGTTATTTTATTTCATACAGCTATTAATTTCTTAAGACATATTAGACATGCATCAAAACATGACATGCTGTTCCACAAAAATTTCAGTTCTCTTCATACATTTATGATGATGCCTACGATGAATCTAGTAATATATGTTAAGTATTTTCAACATTTTTTAACCTCATAGAAAAGTATCATTAGAGTACTTTATTATACTTTTATTAACTATTATGTTACTAAAACTTAATTAACTATCTACGTTAGCGAAATCACTTACATGTCATGTTGACCAACTTGTCTACATTATGTTTCTCTTCTCCACAATCTAGATAGCCATTTGCTACCGTTTCCATATACTACAAGAAGGGAAACAAATTAATTAATTAATTCATAGATCCAGGGCGTTATGCGTGGTAACAGCCGGTAGATGGTGCATCTGTTTCATAAAAACATATTCGCAATGTGACTCATATTTAGCTGTAAAACTTGTCAAAGTACAGAAGAGGTATTAGAAATACAAGAATTCAAAATCAAATGAAAAATTTCCACCAGTGGAATATCTGTTAAAGAGCAACAAATACAAAAACATTACTTCCAGAGCCAAAATTCCTTTTTTACAAGCTACATGAGTTTGAAAAGAGTTTTCTGTAGAACTGAATGTTCCTGTTCTTGTATTTTTCCATAAGCATCTTATTGGCCGCTGTTTGGAAAAGCTAGTCCACAGGTTCAGACTCAGCACAACATACACAATGGTGACCAGCAGGAGCTGTGGGGTTGGTTGAACATATCCAACAGCTGGGAAATAATGGTCCAGCTTTTTATATTTCCCTAATAGCTACCTAGTGAAACATAATCATCCAAGAAATGAAAATTATGACAAGGATGTATTTCTGTTAGCACACAAAATCATGATGAGATTCTCAGCATCACTTACATGTTGGCTTTTACATATTGGTCTTTTTATATATTTATAATCCCTCAATATTGGACAAATCCTTAATGTGGTGGCATTTTGCAGTCTCCAATACACTGTATAGGTAATCTAAATTGGTTTCAAGCACGTAGTACAGAGAGGCTAGAATTACAGTAGCAGTACACTATATAAAGTATCATCAGTAATAATAATTTAATTAGTGCTTTCTATCAATATACCTCAAAACACTTGAAAATGAAAACAGTTACATGAAACCATATCACCAAAAATCAGCAAACTACTTGAATGAAAACTATATTAGAAACAATCTTTGACTCCCATAACATTAAGAACATTTCAGGTAGGTGCTATAGGAGCTATAGCACACCACTACTTATTTGAAATATGGGTGGCACAGTAAATATGAATGAATGATATTTGAATAAATTGAATGAATATGATATTGAATAAATATGAATGAATGTTGCATTCCAGAAAGATACATTTGTTTAAACAAAATGTACAAATTCTGATTTTTCATGAATGCAAACTCCCAACAATCAATCTCAATTTCAAGCATATTTAAGATATGCCATATTTCACTGATACCTGGGCAGCTCCCACTCATTGAAAAACAAGTATTAAAATTCAGAAGTAAAGCAATGTTAACATAAGGCAATAACAATGCAGCATTTAATTAGTGATAATGTTCACAAATTTCAACCTGTTCAACCATTCTATTGCTATGCTTTTACTTTTGAGAAGTCGTTTGCTTAATTTCAGGGGGCTTTTAAACATCTTCCTTCAAAAGTCTACAGTCTCTTTTGAATGAATCAACTGTGCTGACTTCTGTAATTCTTAGCTCAGGTCAGGAGGCATTTGTTAAGCCTTCTATTGAAAAGTCTTGGGTTAAATACTGCTAAGTTATAAGGACAGATCCTTTATGAACTAGTGAAAAAGCACACCAACTGCTTATATGCAAACAGAGGAATACACTTCTTCCCAAAAAACAAGAGCATACGTACACTGTTTTTTACAGTTATTTCATTCCACTCATAATAAACCAGCATACAACATTATAGACAACATTTCCATGAGGAATTTTACCTGAGCTAGATTTTCAATCCCACCCAAGCTATAGAGGATTTCCTAAAAGGAAACAAACAAATGAATGAAAAAGGATCAAACTACAGAAAACACTGCATTAAGAGATACTTGAACATAAGTACCCTGATTGTCATGAGTGCTGAGAAACCTTAATTCTAGCAATCAAAGTCAATGGATTTTGGATATGCTTAGCAATTTCAGAGTTTAGAATTACTTACCATAAGTAAATAAATAAATTATAGAAATGAAATTTGAAAGGTTCTAAAATCAGAACAGTAAGTATAATCTTTGGTACATGTTAAAACGAAATACACGAAAACAAATATCCTAACAGATGTCTGGGGTTTAGTCTTATGAATAACAGCTATAATTTTCAGAAAAACATTTTAAAGCTTTAATGTTTGTAACTCAGAAAACTGGGCTGCTAGAAAAAAATAGGCAGCTTTCAGTTTTCTTCAGTTGCTACATAAGGTTTACATATCTATACAGAGAGGTAAAATAAATATGTAGTCTAGGGCTCTGGGCAATGGCCAAATCATCTGTTATGGAAATTTAAAGCTTATTTATTAGGGTTAGCAACACAAAAGCTACAAAAGATATATCAGAAGTCGAGCAAATTATCCAATAGCAGCTAGAGTTCATATGTGCAACCTGTTTGAAACTCACTTGCACCTTCAGACATAGAAATACAGGTATATACATACATCTATGTAGTAAGTAGGCATTCACAAGAATGTACACTTTTATATATACATTTAACAACACAACCATAAGTATGATGCGTAAATACATCCTCTTATGCAAGAAAAAAAATACTTGGACATACAGACCTGATAGTGTGGATCTCTCATTAATAATCTCAGGCAGATTAATACTCTAAGAAAATGGATGGATGGAGCTTGATTAACCCATTCCCTGTAAAATGAATATCCTAAGCATAAAGCAAATACAATAAACAAGTACAAACACACTTATACAAAAGATTTTGATACAGAAAGCAAATGACTATAAGATTATTGGCCTGTAACAACTTTAGAATATACAATACCATAGAATGCTGTTCCATTCTGTGCAATTCTTTACCATTTATATTCCAACATAGTGACAAAATGATATACTTAAATATTCTCAATACAGGATTATACTTCTTAATAGAATTTCCTCTTTTTTGTTTAGGCATACAGTTCAAGAACAAGACTTGGAAGAAAGCACAAAGCACCCAGGGACAGCAGCTCTGTATAAATACCAGTAACAGAATAACTATTTCCATTGTCTGTTGAAGGTATATATCACCATTTTCCCATCTAAAATAAACCTAAATTCAGATATCTTCAGGGATTTTTTTGTTGTTTTAACTCAGAGGACAGAATCCGTATCTGGGCAAGTTTCCAAGGAACAGAAGTCTACGTGATATGGCAGTTCTCAATTTATCATTTGCAGTTGGGAAAGATGCCAATGGCTAAAAATATTTTGATAAAAATAAATGTTTTGCAAACAGATATTAGCAAAATCTCACCCCTTCTATGCCAACATTCTGCCCAAAATAATAGTATTTTTCATTATGCTTCCTTACTTGGCCACTTCAGAAAAGTGCATAATTTTCATGGGCAGCAACAATATACCGGCAGGCAAAAGTTAGTATGTCAGATTGGAAAACTATTTTCAGCTCACTTTAAATGGTGGTTCTTCAAAGTTATTCTTTCAAAACATTTTGACTCTTGACAGTTAATATCTTCAGTGGAGCAAATAATTTGTCACATTTCTGTGCAGAGACAGTAATTCTCTGAGTCTGGTTGACATTTGGAGGCCTCTTCTACTACTGCTACATTTACATTCCATGTTACTAGAGAACTTAGTAATACTCAGCATATGCCAGCAGGATTTTTTTCTGCCTCCTTTGTTAAACTTCATATCCAAACAACTTCAGTTAAGCTGATTGCACTTTCACAGTTTTCTTGCCAACAGAACCATCTCCAACTTCTGTCAACACAGCAATGTTGGTAAGTAAGTGTGCTGGATTTTTTTTTGGCATCCCAATCAACATAGTTACACCTGCAAAAGTGTGTAATGCGGGCAAGGGTGACAGCTTCTACAATTCTGACTCACTGCAGTGGCAGTAGTTCCAAACACAAGAAACCAGCACATCCACTATAAAATATTCACAGAGGGCAACTAAATCACCTTTGGAATCATACTTAAATTATCAAAGATAAGATGGTTCCTCAGTTAATTCTGCCAAGGGGTCCAAGCAAACTATGCAAATTTTGTGGTATTTTTCAAGTACATCTGTAAAATCCATTTGTTATATATTAGCAGATTTAAATGCTCTAGGATTCCTCCTTCAAGTTTTTGTGCTGAGAATTCTTCGTAAGATGTATTTGGTATTCAAAAAGGAAAAATACCGCATATAGCTGTGGTATATCTGGTATATATGTGTATATAGTGGTAAAAATTAATACAAATCCTGAAATTCTGACATTCTTTTCAGCAAATGTTCTTTACCCCTCTGTTTTTGAAGATCTTGCAAAATTTTCCCGCTCATCCAAATGAGAGCAGTCTAAGAAAGAGCTTTTTCTATAAAATGTAAATTAAAAAATCCAAATAAGAATGAAATGATTTAGAAAAACAAACTATAGATTACAAACTATCAAGGGGAACACAGCAGTTAGAACTTTGGTCATTCAAATTTCAACAAAATACTTTATCCTTCCTTCTTCACTCCCAGTCACCCAAGCATTTTGACTTCAAAGCTAATACCAAAATCATCATTTTAAAATTATAATTCAGATTATGTAAAAATACAAAGCTACTAGTTTCCACACAGATATCTATTCATGAAACATATATACCAGGCCTTATCTACGCACGCTCGTTCATTGATTAAGGCAAGAAAGAGTGATCTCTCCTCATTGGAAATGAATGTGTTTAATATACTGACCTGCAGTTAAATCTATTCTTAACTAAAGCAGTAAAAATATCTTCAAACAGCTTATGTTTGGGATGTTTGCTAAAATTTCTCTCATTCTTGTAGGTCACACTAATGACAGAAAAAAAAAGAAAAAAAAAAAGAAGGAAAATGCTGAGCTGGTAATTATGTTTTAACAAGTCAAAACTTAACACTAATAAGAAAAATAAAGAAGTGTCTGTGAAACAAGCACTTACAATAGAATAGCATAATTTCAGGTTTCCAGACAGTAATAATTTTGAAGAACAGTCTGACTTGCATAATGTGAGTCTATTATAATGGTATAATAAAAGCTTCCCAAACAAACCATTACATTATTTAAATTGAATATATTAACTTTCAACAGTTCACTCTACTGAGTAGGAGCACATGTCAAACTTAGAAAGCAAAAATATTCACAGTTAGGTTTAGAAAAAATAAAATTGCATCATTAACATCTCAGCAGGTTGACATGAAAGTACAAGAGACACAAAATACAAATGATTTCCAAAACTCAACAAGACTAAGACACAAAAAGGCGTTCAGAAATATGACACAGTGTCATCATACTGGCTCTTTCTTTTACCTAAAGTTTTCAAGCTCAACAGCTTCAGTTGACTCTTGCCATTGATGATGGAGTTTTTGTCCATCACTTCCTACATTTTGCAGAGATCTTGTTATGCTGATTTGACCATTTTCAAAATGTATAGCTGAAAGCTAAGGAGGAAAGAGGAGGCACTGATGAGGCAAAAAAGTTTTACAAAAACGTTAACAAGCAAAACCACCTTTTCTCAGTTTTTCACTTGAACTATAGATGTTGTTAAATCTTTGATCTGTAACTGCCATTGTAAAATACAAACACATACATCATGTGATACTGAAGTGGTAGAAAACTGATGCAAAGGAAGGCTGGAAAACAAATACATGGAGATATATGAAAGCCTTTTTAAATTTATAACAGCAAAGCTCAAGAGAATCTCCAACACACACATTATCTATGTGCACAGCCTCCATATTTCTTTTAGGTCACAGAAATTGATGTTTCAGCTTTCGGCTCAGAAACAATTCATGCCCCTACCCAGGAAAGGAAATGAATAACTCCTGTATTTCATGGACAGTCCCCTAACTTCTGTCATATTCTTGTTACAGAATAGAAAGAGATAAATTGCTTTGGTATTCCCAGGACTCACACCCATTTTCACATGTTGGCTTTCATTGCTTCAAATGGTAAGCACAAGCTCCATCAAATGATTTGAGGTGAAGATTTTACAATATCCTAGAAGTTTCAAGCACTTATATTTATGCCCAGAAGAGTTTTAGCTGAATTATTATTCTCTGAAGACGAATTGCTTATGGTTAAAATGCTGATTTTTAATTTTCTGTTCCTTCGTACTCTTACTTTATTACATGTTACTTTATTACATATTGTAACTAATAAATCTCTAATCCTACCTTCTACAGAAATTTTGGAAGGGCACTGAAGAAAATAAATCCACAAGGCTACTTGACTATGTCTGTTAATACCTGAATACAACCTGTTCAAGATTATAACAAATAAATTTCTTTCCTGTTTAAATAAAGATTATGGCAGAGTAGGACAGGAATTGGCTCAGCTTCATTCTTCCAACCTTTCTGAGTAGGATTTATCTCACAGAGAACCTATAATATTGCCAAGGGGGAAGAAAAAAAAAGGACACCATATACACTACACAAGATTTTACTAACACAGTCATAATGGAACACAATAATATCACAAGTATGTGCTACAAACCATAGTCAACTGTATTTGTGATTATACAGTTATACAGCATGTTTAATAATAGTTATTATATAAATATTATTTATATAATTATATAATTATTTTTATATAATTTATTATTATATGCATATATATATATATAATACCTGTTGTTTGCTTGATGGAGCATTTAAGAGAGACTGAAGTCTTTTAAGGTCAGAATAGTCCCTAGAATAAAACACAACAGCATAGTATATATATTAATAGTTACATAAAAGTACTTCTTAAGAGTAAAGAAAATAATAAACAATGCTACTGACAGAAACTAAAATTGTCTACTGTCCTCATTTTGCATGGAAAAGAATTTAGAAACTCTCCAGAATGCCTTAAATCAACAGAGGTGTAAATAAACTTTGCGACCAGAGTAACAGTTGTCATGTTTATACCGCATTTCAAATTAAAGCATTCTGCTTTGGCAGCTAGTACAAATTCCACACGGGTTCTGCTGAAGTTCAAACAAAGTAAGACATCAGATACTATACCTCATAGAAATCCCATGAGGTTTTTTGTCTGTTGCTTTTTCCGTGCTCTTCAGTTTCTTATCCTGATCAGGCATTGTGCATCAGTCTCATCATCATACGGCTAAAGCATTCATTTCCTTAAAAATAAAAAAGATAGAGTTATATCATTGCAGCATTAAGCACCAAATGTCTACCTACAGAACTAAATGAAAAGAAAAAAAAATACAACCAGAAACAAAACAAATAGACGAAAAAAAAACCCAGCCCTAGCATTTTCTCAACATGAAACCTTAGGCATTAAATGAGAATACCTTTTAGAATTCCAGATCTTAATGAGAAATTTATAAATGTAAAATACAGAAAACTTACTTTCCCAACAAATTTTTGGTGAGGGTAAATAATACTATCTGTCTTGCTACTGTTCTTCCCTTCTATTAGGATTTTTCCTCTTCTTGCTTATTTTTACCATTATTTCTCACAACGGTTTGTTTATATTAAAGTAGTGCTTAGGGACTGGCATTAAGTTTGTGTCATACAAGGTATTGTTCAGACAATATAGGACATAACACCTTTACCACAAAAGATGGATCAAGGATAGAAAAAGGAGGTATCTGACAATCATACGTGATGTAATTCCTCATGCTGATGTATTACATGTCTAGAAAACAATCACATAAATTTTCTGTAGAGGTTGGAATCTGAGTCTTCTGAATTTCCATTGAATGCCTTATATCCATAGCAGTTAGCTTCTCTTGCAAAGTAGGACATAAAGCTTATTTCAATAGGTGAACATAGCTGTAATGGTTTGGCCTCAGGAGAGTCAATACCATACATTAGATCCACTGCAGACAAACATTCAGACTATTTGTGTCACATTCAATAGGTCTGACTTCCCACTAACACCCACGGTTTGTTGCTTGCACATATTTGTTCAGAAAGACGGAGAAAGAGAAAATAATCAAGTGGAATCTCCTTCTGCTATGAGGGTAGTTATGCTGGTGCAGCATATTGGTTTATTATTCATTTAGTCCAAGTGGAAAAAAGGAGATGATCAGAAGCAGGCTAGAGCTGAAAAATTACTCAGAGAGCTACATACAGCCAAATCATATTGATAGAGCACACATGATTTAAAAAATAAAAATATAGCAACACTGTCAGACGCTTCCTGTCCATTCCACTACTCACTAAATATGGATAGATTGGGCGTTCCCTTTGGTGTGTCTTTTACCAGGGCTTTCCCTCTGAAATCTGACAGCTTTTTGTTGGTTGTTGTTTTTTTTTTTTTTCCTCTTTTTGCAGTGTAGAGTTCTACTATTGATTTTTATTCCTCCTCCTAACAAAGGCAAAGAAATGAAGACAACCAGGATGGAAACAAAAGGAATACAAACAAACCAGAAGATGCTGCTTCCTACTGAAAAATCAGAGTTGTTTTCTCAAATATACATTCTCACATTAGACACAAAACTAACTAAATTGCAACTGCTGACAGCATGAACCCGTGCATTGTATTAACTCACTCTGGGAAGTGTCCTGTAAGATCAGTTCACCTGTTTCTGTTCTATGAAAAAAGTCTTTATCCTACCAATGGCAATCCCAGAGACAATCCCAGAGATCAATGTATCTTGATCCCCCAAAAATTCCACTATTCTCCTCCATGCATCCCCTTAAAAGCATTATCAGAACATTCAGAACATTCCTGTGGCACCAGCTATCACTAGGGAACGAATATAAATAGAATCCATTCCATCAGTAAGTAGACAAAGCCCTTCATCTCAGATTAAATGAAGGCAGCTCAATTAATTCATTGAATTTGCTTCAAAAGCAGTGAAAGTTACGAGAAGTCAAGTACATTGTTAGGCATGTATAAGAAACCTTGTGAGTATAGATTTCCACAACTTGATTTATTAATGTTTTTGTTTCTTATCCTCTCCCCAGTATCCCAATCCATCTGGCACATTGCTGAGGCATGGCATGATGCAACCATCACCTCAGAGTTACACACCAGTATAGTGACACTCCCAAACTATCAACTTGCTCAAGAATACACACATACAAAGAACAGATTTCAATCACTTACCAAATAATCAAACAACACAAACCAACCATGAGTAAATACAGATAAATCCTAGAAAATTTAACATGTAAAACAGCAGGATTCCAGTACAGCCAAGGTTACATTCAAAATTGTGAGGTCTTTGTGATTATCTACGAAATACCTCACAAATGTGAAACCTTAAAACCACAGATCGCACTCAACCTTGCCTTAGGGCTGCCAGTCCACTGATCTTGCTGTTGGTGGTGCCTTAGTCAAGAAGAAACAGAATAACACCTGAGTTATATTTTAGAGGCTCACTGCTGTTATAGGTGCAAATGTTCAACATGAAGCCAAATTTCATTCACTGCTGTCTGAGAAAGAAGGAATGCAGCACACCCAGGGACACAGCCCTCACCCAGCACACAGGGTTCATCCTGAGGTTGTCCCTCTGTTTCCTGGAGGACACTGAGTGTGCACAAGTTAGTAAATACTAGAATGAAAAGTGGGCAGCCCCACAGCTGCTGAATGACCCTGCACAACCTCCATCTGCCAGCACGGCATCACAAGGCTGCACCGTCTGCTCGACCAGGAAAGCTGAATCAGGTTACAACTAATCTTCTCTGTGTTAACACTGATCACCTTATATCTTGTCCCCAAGTACCGCTGGTGTACAAGGGCAGGGACAATATGCAGAACAGAGAATTTATCATTGTGGTTTAAAGTGTTTGAGCCCTTCAATTTGTCTCCAGGGCTAAACCGATGGAACAGCCATCTGCTGGTGAAAATGGCAGCTGCTGACCCCTCCCAAATCTGCCACTCCCCTTCACTTGTTCAGTTTATCTGGTCTAAATCCGAGAGTTTAGAGAACTAAACAGGCAAAGAGCCACGTGCTTCTGTTTGTACAGTCAGTTTTCTACAAATTTAGGTCACTGTTACAGCAGCCCAATGAGCTGCTGGCAAGGATGGAAGGGGGACAGGAGTGCACAGCTATGAAAAGAGAAGCACAGAAAACCCTTTCATCAGAAGCCAGTCATTAAACCATGTGGGTGCACAAGCACCACACCCTGAGTGATAGGTACCACAGGAAACAACCCCTTGTTTTCCATGTACCAGCCATAATCCTGAGAGAAAACAGACCTGGAAAATGTCCTTATTGATTCACGCAGTTACCTGCCTTTCTTGAAACCATCGAGTACATTCCCACCCCTGTGTTTCGTCTTTACTTGTGCCAGAAGAAATTTCCATGGAGCCAGACTATTAACTATCTTACTAGCTAGTACTTCATGAGTAATGCATGCAAAACAAAACAAACAACACTTGCATCTCACTCAGGGAGCACCAGAGAAGACTGAGACTGGACAACTTTCAAAAATAGAAATGTATTAAGGAAAATGTCCTCACAGCACAGACAGAACCTTATTCAACTTCATTTAAAACAATGAGAAATGAGAAAAATATTAACTAATTTATTATAACCAGTAATAATTACATTTAATTAGCTATAACTCATTTACATAGGAAGAAAGATGCATTCTAACAGTGTTGGTGTGCAGGATAGGACAAGGAACGTTCCAAGAACCCTGTCAGAAAAAACCCACATGATGAGAAACAGGAGACAAAGGAATCACCACAACAGATTTGATCTGTGGCCCAGTCTGTCTCAGATGACACAAGGTCATAAAGCTTCAGAAGGTGAAAAGAAAGCCCCAAATAAACAAAACCACAAAGACATATTGGAGAATAAATTATTTCCATACTACAGTGTAATGTTTAAAAACACCCTTGAACAAAAAGATATCTTATGTTCTACATAATATTATTAGCAATAACTACTGGATATGTATAACAGATACAAACAGCTTTGTAATCTAACTAGCTGCTTGATTGATCACGAATTCCTTCCTTAATCACTCTAGTGGCTGAGTTCCACTACATAACTATACAGCTGGCTTGAGCTGGATAAAGGAGGAGTAGAAGACTTTTGATGTCGTTGTTAGATAGGAATTTATCTAATGCCATAAGCTGGGTGTGAAGTCAGATGAAAAATCACTCCTTAAAAGAGCAACTATCAGCACACTAGAAATGCATTTCAAATGTGGTTAAATGTTGGCTAAGGATACACCAAAGAAGACTATAAAGTTCCCAAAATGTACTTTTACTTCTCCATACACATGAAAGCAAAGGGCTGGACTGGATCCCTCTCATTCTTGGACAGCATGGCAGTCAGAAAAGACACCATGGGGCAGTACAAGCCTAGGAAATTCCCAACCCATGAAAACGTACTGACAACATTTGAAGAGTCCTTCTCACAAGATGTATCAGCTGAATCAACATAGAAATCTGCATGTTTATATGAAAACTTTCATATGCGTATAATTTCTTCTTGAATTTCATTCAAGCACTTCTTAGAAGATTCTCTGAAGATTAACTAGGATTCCAAATGAAGCTCCCATTTTCCCAACAAATGGAAACACAGTCCCCTGCTTTTCCCTCTGCACCAAACCAGTTCAAGGGAAGCCATAAAAGGCCAGGCCTGTTTCACGTTCTTGGGCACAAACAGTGTGAGACTCTGGGCTTTTTTCCAGATCGTATCTTGTATCTGCATATTCTGACTAAGTCCACAATGCCAATCTGCAGCTCATAGATGAAGGAAAAGTAGATTTCTGAGGGGTAGATAGCAGCCTTATACCAAGGCAAGAACCATATGTAGCTGCATTAAATTCATGCTGTTTGCCCTGCTTATCAGGCAGCCTTTGGGGGACTAGAGATACTGGGAACTATGAGGGAGGGTTTAGTGCCTTCTGAACACACAGATCAGTGAAGGTTCAAGGCTGGGGACCAGTGTTAGAAGGAAAGTGGGAGAGTCCCTACTAACACCCTTCTCTACAAATTGAAAGATAGAGATCTGATAAGTAGACTGTTTGACGGTCAAGGAACTGGCTGCAAGATTGTATCCAATGGCCAATGGCTCAATGTCTGGATGGAGATTAGTGACAAGTGGTGCCTCTCAGGGGTCAGAACTGGGACCACTGCCCTTTAATATCTTCATCAGTAACATCAACATCCTCTGTAAGTTTGCAGATGACAGCAAGCTGTGCGGTGTGGTTGACACACCTGAGGGATGGGAGAGACCATCCAGACAGACCTGGACGGGCTTGAGAAACCTAGTGCAAGATCTACACCTGGGTCGCGGCAACCTTTACTACAAATACAAGCTGAAAGATTAAAGGATAGAGCACAGCACCCTGTCAAAAAGCATTTGGGGGTATTGTTGGATGGCAAGCTGGACATGAGCCAGCATGTGTCCTCACAGCCCAGAAAGCCAACCGTACCCTGGGCTACATCAAAAGAAGCATGGCCAGCAAGTAGAGGGAGGTGATCCTGCCCCTCTACTCTGCACTGGTGAAGACTCACCTGGAGTACTACATCCAGATGTGGAGTCCTCAGCAGGGGAGAGATATGGATGTTGGAGCGTGTCCAGAGCAGGGCCACTAAAATGATCCCAGGCATGGAATACCTCTACAAGAACAGGCTGAGAGCTGGGGGTGTTCAGCCTCGAGAAGAGAAGGCTCCAGGCAGTCCTGAGAGCAGCCTTCAAGTATCTAAATGGGGTTGTAAGAAAGAAGGGGACAGATTCTTTAACAGAATTTGTTGTGATAGGACAAGGGGAAATTATTTCAAACTAAAAGAGGGGAGATTTAGATTGGACATAAGGAAGGAGTTCTTTACAGTAGAGGTGATGAGGCACTGGCACAGGTTGCCCAGAGAGGTGGTAGATGTCCCATTCCTGAAGAAATTCAAGGTCAGGCTGAACAGGGCTCTGAGCAAGCTGAACTGTTCATTGCACAGAGTTGGACTAGATGACCTTTGAAGTTCCCTTCCAACTCCAATGATTCTTCGACTCTAGGGCAGGGACAAAACAGCCCCAGAGGCATTACTTCTAACTTACCGGGGAGATCCAGGGCTGGATGTGACCTCACGCTGGTGGATGGCACACAGCACAAACCGGTTCCCCACACTTCCCATGCGTTACTTATGACTAGGCAGGCCCGCCCCAGCACTTGATATCTTTACTGCGTTTTATACCACGTAGCACATCTGCATGCATTCCCCAATGCTAACATCACGTTTCAGATTGTTTTGTGTTTTTTTTTAAACACCCTTGACATCTTCACATCGTACCTCTCTGTGACTTTAATCACACAACGGCCGCACCATCTGACTCCCGATCTCCCCCGCCCTCCCCGCGGGCCGGCTCCCTCCCCAACAGGGGCCTGCAGGCGGCCCTCACGGCTCGGCCGAACAGCCTCTCCCCCCGCGGTTGTCATTGGGGCGCCCCTGCCCTGCCCCACTCACGCGGCAGTCCCCGCACGCAGCCTCCGCCACCGCTTCACCCGTCGTCGGGAGCGCGGCCCCAGCCGGCGGCCAATCGCACGTCCTCTTCTTCGGGATCGGACGGCACGGCGACCAATCGCAAGGCGCCGTGCTGGGAAGCGCGTGGATACCCTAGCGACCGCCGACGCCGGTTGCCGTTGCTATGGAAACGAGGACGCCCGGCCGGAGCGGCAGCCCGGCTCTCCGGCACAAATACAAGAAGGCGAGACATCGTCCAGTAGATTTTTATTGCTTTTGCCAACTTTCTGAAACGTTACAAAAGATAATTTTATTCTACCAGTAATTAAAAACAACGAAGGCTGGATCTTTCACATTGAAGACAAGTCTGAGATCGGCGTTTTCTATACAAACTGAAGATCGATTCGACATTTGGGATTCCGTTACAAAGTACGAAAGCATCGCTGCCGTTAGAAAAGCGGTCATACAAAGTGGAACCGTACGGCGTGTGACGGCGCCTCCGACCAGCGGCACTGAGGTCAGAGCGCGGCTCAGCTGCGGGTGCTGAACCTCGGAAGACAGCGCTGCGCGGAGCAGCCGCAGCAGAGGGGCTGTATTGCAAAGGGTGTGCCTTGCCCCAGCGTAGAAAAGGACTGGTTTTCAAACTCATTATACTAAATTCAGTATGAAAAATGTCTTTTAGATTAACTTCAATGCCAACTAAGAAGTTCCTATAAGTTCCCCCTAAAAAAAAAAGTTACAAAATAAAACGGGACTTAAAATTCTAAGCAATTTGCTTTGTATTCATAGCACTAGTCTTACATTGACTCAAAGCTGTGTGCTTCTAGTCTTAAAATTTGCTGTAAAATAAATTAGTTGGTATAAACAAAGTATTTCACACGTTCGTACTGTACTTTATAATAAATTTTACCTAAATGAGTAATTAAAACATTACTAATCACAGAAAGCAAAAGGAAAACTAAAATCATTGTGATGCTCATCTAAGAGGCTACACTGTGAACTGAAAATCATGAGTCATTTATCTTAGATTTACAGAACGTATGTACAAGACAATCCTTTAAAACTGTGCAGGCTCTGTGACAGGACACCACAGGTTTGTCACAGGTGTATTTTACAGAAGCTGAACCTGCCTGACACGAGGCAGGAAACTACCACATAAGGACAAAGATGCAAAGAAGCAAATGAAAAGTTATGGGAAAGCTTTCATTACATACAGAAGAAAAAAAAAAGTTATACATTTGGTTGAAAAACCTCAACAGGGCACTGAATTCTATCCTAGCAACCTTACCACGACTAACTTGGCAATTTGGAACGTTTCTCTAAACAACAACATATTCTGTTGTAGCTGCAAAATTCATCTAGGAAGGTATAATTAACTTGGGCGTATGTAAACAGAATGAAAGCATGTCATTGTAATACGTGACAAGTACTGAGCAGGAGTTTTGTAGAGTCTCGTTTAAACAAAAGACTGTATTTTAAGTGAAATATTTTAGATGATAATTTAAATGGAGTGGTCAAAATTAAGACCCACACTTTATGTAAACATTCATATTTATAAATAAATTAGAAAAAGGGAAAACAAAGTAAACCAAAAAAAAAAAAAAAAGACTGGGGACTTCCTGAGGTGGCTCTGCAGCCAGATACACAGTAGCACTAAGCTCCATTCCGGGAAACCAAGGCATCTAAAAAAAAAGTGCAGGACTGTTCATTTACCTCTAACTGCTGGAATGGAAATATATTGGCTTAATTTTTATAGGGCTTAACCCCTATGAAAGAATCAGTGCACAGTTATTATCACTGCTCTTTTGCACCCATTAAGGCAAAACTTATCTATATACAGCCCACAATAATCTTAGCTTTACTTCAGCTATGCACAAATTTAAAGCAAAAGTGGCATACAATGAGCAGTAAGTTACTTAACCATAAGTTATTCATGGGTTTTTATGCTCTCAATACCAGGTTGTCTTCTATTCACATGGGGAAAAAAGTGCAAGCAGGACACGCTACTAACAAAGAACACTGCAACTAAAGGTCACTGTAAACTGCTTTGCAAGTCAAGGTATTTCTGGCACTGATGGAAGTATCTACAGAATTAGAATTAAAGAAATACTGCAATTAGACTTGTGGGCTTTGGTGGTTCGTTTGCTGTTTTTAAACTTAGAAAAAAAAACACCTGCTTCCTGCACTATTGGCCATTCTTTAACCCTTCAAAAGCAGAAGCCAGATAAAAGTTGTATAGCACCAGGGAACCCTGATTTCTGGCACTGAAGAGTTAAAAAATCTAAGAAGCTTATAATCATCTTCTGACTCTTGGAAACAATCACGGGGTTCTGAATATGATGTATAAAATACTACTAAGAAGAGTGGTAGAAAAGTAGCTTATTGTGGATAACACTATGTAAACTGCTCTGCTCAAAATAGTATTTTCCTTCTTAAATACACCAGCAGCCAGCTAATAGCCAGTAACTGATGAGCAGATGAGTTGGTTTGTTGTGGTTTTTTCTTTTGAATAATGCAACCATCTGCTATATTTTCACTGCATCTCAGTTTCATTAGAGGGAAAATAGCTATTTCCTGAAAGAGCAAATACTTAAGCTAAGGCACGAGCTACGCCATTATCTAAGGATAAATGGGCATCACCCTATAGAGGTCATACACAATACTAGTCAAATTAGTAATGCAGACCTCACTTTCTTTTCCACTGAGCCTTTGTCGTGAGAATTTGGGTAGGGCCTTTCATACTGCTGTACACTATTATGTATTTTCAGTAAACTGTCTTATCAATTCAGTCAAATGGAGAAAAAAAAATAAACTATTAAATTGTGTCTAATGGGAACAGTTAACAGCCCATATTACTTAAGCATTATTTTCAAATATTTCTTCTTATTCCAACTGATGGGTTTATTTTCATAATATACAATTATCTTTCATCTCATTTTTACTTGTCTGAAGAATACCAGAATTCCAATTCAGGTGGTACTTCCAGATGAACTCTGCCTTCCTCCAAAGCTGCTCCTTTGCAGTCACTGAGAATTTTACCACAAAGTCCACAGTGAAACTGACAAATCTACCAAAACAGAATTAAGCTAACAGTACGTTCTAGTTTGAAATGTGCACAGATTCTAATTAAAGCCTTTATAACACATCCAGAAAGGGCTGGTAGAATCTAAAAAGACCATTTCAGAAATTTAAGCCAAAAAACAAAGGCATAAGGCAAAAAAAATATTAGTAATGGAAACTGCAGCAGGTAATTGATCAAGCTTTTCATTTACACATAAAATTGTCATCATCTCAGATTTTACACTGCTAAACACTAAACCTCAAAAACATAAGTACAATAAATGCACTTTTAATCAATGCATTTTTAATCAATGAACCTCCAAAATCCCATTTACTTCAATAAATGAATATTTACTTTTTCAATTATTCTAACACGATAAAATTTTATACTAATTAAAATAAATAAAATGCTTAAAATAAGTTGGTGTGCTATCATATATGCCCTTTACAATGAAGAGAATCAGAACTGTACACAGAAATACCACAAGCAATTTGTAATCCATAAAATAATACTGATCATAAACCTATTACAGAATTAAACTGTGGCTAATTTAATCAAATATATAATAAATTTAAAAAACAAATTGAGCAAGAAAGATATTTTGACAAGGATGTGAAACACTCTGAAGTGTCAGTCTAAGAGATGAGTAAATCAGTTTTTCAAAGTCAATGGAAAGTGTAAATAAAAACAGGTAAAGAAATCAAGAGTACTAGTGTAGCAAGTATAACTTCCTACAGATCAACTTGCTGCCTATAAGTTGAATTTATATTGAGTAAACACAGATTTCAGAATGGCAAATACTGACTTGGGACTGTAAGAACAGTTACTAAAATCATATGGCTACTGGATGAAAATGAAAAATCAGGGGTATATTTAAAAGTAACAGAACAGAATATTTACATGTATTTCAAGCCATCTGACTTAGGGCTCTAGGACTCCTCTGTGTGACTCTGAGTGACAGAATCAAAAACACATTAGCATGTAGTGGAGACAGAAAACACAGTAGTTCATGTTAACAGTACATTAATATCTGATCTATGAAATCACAAAAAAGTATACCCTGCAAAAACAAGCAGTAATTTCCTGCATGGAAAACCAACTTCTGTAGCGCACGTTATAAACAGAGGTAATGGGAAATTCTAAGCAATGTGGACCAGTAATCATCAGCAAAAGCTGATTGAACTTTTATGCACATATTGATTATTGAAAATAATACGCATCCATTACAATATTCCTATTTAAAATGAAAATAAAATTCCCAATAAAATAAATAGCTGAAGTGTGATTACCACTCAACTGATCTGTAAGCAAATCTTCTCATGTCAGCATATCTACAGTTCCCTAAACAATGGCAGAATTAAATACAAGTTACTCCTTAAATTGGAAATCACACTTCAGTGGTATAATATCCTACAATGATATATATACACACACACACAAATACACACAATTCCCCCTGGTTCAGTTCTATAAAGATGTTTCAGCATCCACGTATTTCACAACAGGTGAATCTTCCACATTTATTTTCACACTTTCTGGTTTCTCAGGGCTGTTGAAAGCAAAGATAATCATTTAAGATATTGTTCTTTTTTCTCAAAGCTAGTCATCAAACATTTTATACTCAAGAGTCAAAATAGTACTTCATTCAAGTATATTTCATATCCAATGAAAATACTATCTGAGCCAATTTAATTTTTAGAAATCTTAACTAGGTTGGGCAAATATCCAAACCCACCAACCCAGTGGAAGATCCAAGCAGCAGTGAAAATGCTGTACTTACCTTTTATTCTCTCTGGCATTTGTAATATTCAGGACCAACCATGCTTATATACACTCTAATAAAGCTTTTAGATTCCCTAAACCCATCAGAGTAGCATACAACTGCATTAAGCAAATTAAAAGTAGCATTAAAATAGTAATAATGCACTTAACAACACCCTTCGACATTGTTTGATTTCAGAGCCGAGAGCAAAAATTAAGCTCAAAATCAAGTTCCTCCCAAATTAAAAATCCATATATAAACCATGTATGCTTATCATCCGATATATATTCAATAAATATGAGTACAGTAATTAGCTACCAAAGACATGGCAAAAGTTA